CAGCAGCAGAACACAGCCGCTTCCTTCTACTTGACCCAGTAACGGCTTTCTTTCTGTTCAGAAAGCTTGGCTTTGGATGAGTGCACAGCTTTTGGAAAGACTCACCTGATAGTCAGTGAGGTGACACATACTGTGGTAAAATCAGATGCCATTCCAGAAAATTCACTAATTCTGCATGTGGCATTTTTAGTCTGTTTTAGCTTCAATAGACAGAAAAATTCCACTCACATTTCACTACTCACTCTGCAGTCAGGAAAAACTCCTCAGGGGTTTGGTCTCACACAGACATAGTCACACACTGGAGACTCTTATACAAATGTAAATGTGTTCGCTTTCCAGTGAAAGCTGCATTTTTGTGAGCAGCTCTCCTTCTGACTTGTTTTCTGTTAGCTCTGGGATACATTAACTGCCTTTTTCTCAGTTCTATTGGAAACAGCCGTGCCAGGGAGCTGGGAGAAGAAAGGACAGAAAATAACTACATTAAGTAAAAGCTGTCCTTGTTTCTCTTTTGATTTAGATTGCTGAAAGGAGCTGGAGGGGCAGGGAAGGCAGGGAGTGAAGGTTGCAGATACATCTTCCTGCTGCTTCAAGAGTGGGGAGGCAGCAGAGCAGGATGGTTGAGAGCCCAGGCTCAGTGGTCAGATGGACTAGCTAGCCCATCACCTTGGGCAAATTATTTTCCTCATCATTCTTTGCATCAGATTATGTATATGAAACATGAAAATATCAATAGAATCTGTCTCATAAAATTGTTTGATGATTTTATGACATTATTTATATGAAAAATTATATTTATGAAAATTTCTCTTTCCCTTTATTCACACGCACTTAACAGAGCCTAAAACCTGTTACTGTCTAGTTGATTCCTAGTCATAGCAATCCTGTAAGACAGAGTAGAACTTCCCCATAGGCTTTCCAAGGCTGTGATCTTTACAGAGCAGACTGCCACATCTTTCTTCCGTGGAACGGCTGGTGGATTTGAACTGCTGACCTTTCGGTTAGCAGCTGAGCTCTTACCCACTGCACCAGCAGGGCTCCATATGAGCCCTATGGGAGTTAACTAGATCAAGTAACTGAAGAGGGTACTTTTTCCTAAACAAAAAAAAAAGAATAAAATTCTACCTGTGAAATAAAACAGTGAGGCAGGGACTTCCTGTTCATAGGTTGACCATCTAGTAATGTATTAAACTGTAAAAAGACTATTCTAATTGGGATGTATAGTGAGGAAATTAACTAAATAACCCTTGTAAAGACAGCCAGGCTACAATGGGCTAGAATGGCACTCTTTTTGCTTTAGGGCTCCTTTGAGTTGCAGAAAGAAAAAAAAAATGAGGGTACATATAAGTGAAGGGCAACACATTAAAAAACAATCTGATATAAGCACTATGAAATCATTCGATCAGTAATAATACTTAGCTGTTTTTGTATGTAATGCTGCCTCATTTGATCTTAATAGCTACTCTGTGAGGTAGACAGAGCAGGTGCCCGTCTTAATCTCCACTTTTGGGATATAGTACCTGAGCCTATGGCGATGTAGTACCTGTATCATGGTCTCTCCTGTGCACACAGCAGAGCTGAGGCATAAACCCAGCCAAATTTACCTCCATGCTTGTTTGTCTTGCCACCATACCACAATGCTGCTTAAATAATTTGAAAACATTCCAGCCAATATTGTCACCATTTAAGAGAGAGAAATGTGGGCAGAGTGAAGATAAGGGGAAGAATGCATGGATAGAGAAAGAAAAGGAGGGATAAGCAAGGCAAAACATAGTAGAACAGGGGAAGAGAGATGAGGGGAGGAAAACAAGGAGGCAGAATGGGCTGAGAATGGGGCTCATAGACTCCAGGGCCAGTGTCCTGGTGTCACAGCCTCCTAAATATGCAATGTAAACATGTAGCTATGCTAAATAGTCCTTTAGAAGTTTTTTTCCCTTGTTTCTTCTTGTAAAATACCCTGTTTACTTTGTTTCCATTCTTTGAAGCTTTTACATGTTGCTTTGTTCCTTTTTTCTTCCTTCCTATTATTCAAATGGAAGTCCCTGGGTGGCACAAATGGTTAAGAACTCCACGAATAGCAAGATCGGAGGTGCAAACCCACCCAGAGGTACTTCGGAAGACAGGCCTGGTAATCTGCTTCCCAGAGGTCACAGTTTTGAAAACTGTATGGAGTAGTCTACTCTTCACACGTGGAGTTGCCATGAGTCAAAATGGTCTCAACAGTAACTAACAACATTATTCATACAAATGTTTATTCCCTGTAGAGTACAGTTTTATGCATGTATTTTAAATGGCTTGAATTTTAGAAATACACTCTAGAACTCTATGTTTAGTCACTTGTTTTCCTCTTTTCCTAATTGTTTATTACTCCACTTAAGAGATACCTCAGTGATCAGAGAGCATGCAGTCTTCACTCCTGGGAGAAAATTGTCTTAACACCAATCCATTGCTCAACAATTGTGGACTGTTTTGACAGTTATAAAGTAAAATTTCCAATATAAATGCCAATCCAGTCTTACCTGGCCGTGTATTAGAAAAATCAGGAGACTTAGTTTTCTGTTCAATTGAGCTTTTAGGTTCAAAACTAACTTACAATAGTGTTTTTATAAGCAGTTGTATTTTTCCCTGTTTTTGTTTTTTCTTTCTAAAATCCAGTGATGTCACATTTGCTCCTGTTAACTTCACAGGGAATTCTGAAACATGTGTTTTAGAATGAATAATTAATTCCAGAAATATAGGCTCATTCTATTTCCACTATCTCAATTAGCTCTATTCTGATGCAATTAGAATTCAGTTTGACTGTCTCTCCTGGTGGTATTTTTTACATCTAAGAATGACTTTTGGGTTGTAGTACTGTAATTCCACCAATTCCAAATCCTGAAATTTATCTGCTTCCCCATGAGTAGGATTCCCTATCACTGGGGCATGTAAAGGTACTTTGGATACGTGTCTTCTTTCATCTTGTGGAAAAATAGGACAAAAGATGATAGCCTAAAATTAGAGAATTAGATTCTGGAGCATAGCAATTTACAATATCAAAACCTTTTGCCGTCGAGTCGATTCTGACTCATAGTCACCCTATAGGACAGAGTAGAGCTGCCCCATAGAGTTTCCAAGGAGCGGCTGGTGAATTCGAACTGTCAGTCTTTTGGTTAACAGCCAAACATTTAACCACTGCGCCATACAGGCAAACTAAAAAACTCAGGTCTAGTTCCAGCTCCTCTATCATATGGCTGTGTGAGTTTAGACAGGTTACCAATTCTTTGTGGGGCCTTAGTTTCCTAATCTCTCACATGAAGGGATGGAAGCACAGCCACTCCCCACTTATCAGCATGGTTAGATTGCAAAGACCAGGTTGTTATGCAAAACCAGTGTTACACGAAAATGGAGGATGACCACATCAGATCACAAAATGGAGGATGACTATATCTTACATAACTGCCACTTACATCATTATATAACTGCCAAACCACTGAGAATCATGGCCTAGCCAAGATGATACATAACCTTAACCATCAAAGCCAGTGTTACTCTCGCCTCACACCTCAACGTTCATTACTGCCAGATATATGTCATTAATGTGCAAAAGAGTCAGTTAGTAGATTTTTTACTATTACTGTAAATGTGAAATGTCAAATAATGAGTTAGTGGATAAGTAAGGAGAAGTTGTCGTCAAAGTTTTCAAAAATTTGGACTGAGGAGTTTATTTTTTCAAAATTAATCTTATATAGATCCCCAATATTTAAACTAGATTAAGTAAAGTTGTCCTGATTGCTTTGGAGACAGTAGAAGCAGGAACCTCATCCCTAAAACCAGTTGCCGTAGACTCATTTCTGACTCATGGAGACCTCATGTGTGTCAGAGTAGAACTGTGCTCCATAGGATTTTCAATGGCTGATTTTTCCAAAAGAGTCACCAGGCCTTCCTTCCGAGGCAACTCAAAGTGGACTTGAACCTCCAACCTTCAGGGTAGTAGCTGAGCACATTGACCATTTGCACCCCTTAATTTATCCATTTGTCATAATTTGCAAGTCACTGTGTTAAATAATTTTAAGGCCTCTTCCAGCTCTAAAGTGTATTGAGGTCTGTCTTTCAACTGGAATAGTCTAAGTTACTTTCACTAGAGGAATCTCTGCTTGCTCAAAAACTTCAAGTTGATACTAACCAACCCCCTCCAAAAACAAAATAAAATAAAATAAAACTCTTCAGTCAAGTGTAGAATACGTGTACCTTAGTGTTTAGTCCTCTGACCAGGAGGATGTTTACTTGGCAATTTCATGAGAGTGAATATGGATACTTCGGATAGCTCTTACAACTGCATCAATGACAGAAAGCATTACAGCATTTCTAATGTAGTAATGATATTTATTTCTATACTTGAATTTTTGGTAATTCATATGAAGACATTTTATTTTTTTAATTAACACCATCTATTTGTCCTTACCTAGTCTGAATCATAGGCCAGCTTCATGAAAAGGGAGAAGATTTAAGACTTCTCCTCTTTCAAATACAAATGGTTATTATCTATCCAAACTAAAGCAAGAAAGCAAAGATAGGAAGGACAGCTTTGCCAAAGCTAACCTTTTGCCTCAGACTGTGTGGGGGTAAAGCTTTTATTTCCAGAGGAAAAAAAGAAATAATGAGATGTTTAATATCCAGTCAAGTTGAGGAGATGCACAATATTCTAGCTTTAAAAAGGATAACTTGGTTTTCTTTGAAATTTTGTGATCTCAGGACATTTGATACATTTTTAAAGTATATATTCAAAAATCGATATGATTATGGTGACTTGGTACCTAGGCCCTAATTTGCCATCTCAGATCAAACATACCTCACCCTCTGATCACTCCACAAATAGCTGCACAGAAAATTGAAAGATGATTAAAAATCTGTACTGACACTCTTTGTACTGCTTGTAGTTTACTCGGATTAAACTTTCAGCACCATATGCTGTGCGTTTATTGAATTTATGTGTTGACAATGCATGAAATAAAATATTCCAGATCCTTCAGAAAAACTTTACAGCCTAACCTCAGAAGAGTCACCAGCCTTCAACAGCCGTTTGCAGAATACAAGTGAGATTACCACGGATTTCCTTAAGATCTCACACTCAAGGGGCCCCTGTGGAGTTGAGGAACAGAGGTAGGTTAAGCCTGCTGCATAGGCGTAAAAATAGTGCATAGTAAAATTTTTGACAAGCCCATCTAGTTACTTGTACTCTATGTCTTAGTTATCTAGTGCTGCTGTAACAGAAACACCACAAGTGGATTGCTTTAACAAACAGAAATTTATTTTCTCACAGCTTAGGAGGCTAGAAGTCCAAATTCAGAGTGCGGGCTCTAGGGGAAGGCTTTCTGTCTCTGTCAGCTCTGGAGGAAGGTCCTTCCTTGTCTCTTTGAGATTCTGTTCCTGTACGGTCTGCACGTGGCTTGGCCTGTGTCTTCCCCATCTCTGCTTCTTAGCTTGCTTATTTAATCCCTTTTATATCTCAAAAGAGATTGACTCAAAATACACCCTATACCAATCCTACATCATTAACATGACAAAGACAACCCATTCCCAAATGGGATTATAACCACAAGCATAGAAGTTAGGATTTACAACACATATTTTTGGGGACACAATTCAATCCATAACACTCTATAAAGAAAAATTGTCCTAAAATGTGTGCTTTGTATAAACCATTCTTTGTAAAATGTTTGGTTCCTTTTCTGACCTCTTAGCAGGATTTAGTAAAAGGCTTATGAAGTTGCTACTTTAACTTGAAGAGAGAGTTCTGCTGTATAATGCATATCAGAAAAATGAAAAGACATTTGGAATTGAATAATCCTTCATCATTTCTTCTCATAATGAAAGACAGTTGCATTACTTGCATTAATTAACCTAATAAATTTCAATGCTTTGCATTAATAGAATTTTACCCAATATGAATACAGTTTTTAAAAGAGTATTAAGAAGTTTCTTTCTTGAAATTGAATGTAGATTGTTAATAATAGCGTATTTTAATTTGCATCACTTCCTCAGTGATCAGTTTATAAGGGACATAAGTTATACCACTAAATGCTTCTGAAAAGTAATCTATTGTTTTTGTTTAGTACTGACAACCTGAAATTCCTTCAAAAAGGAAGAGGCTTTCTCTAGAAGGATAAGATTAAATGTAAAAATAAAAGTGCCTTGAATTATGAATCCCTTTGATTGCTTTGAAGTCTCATATGCAGTAAAAGGGAATCTGTTATTGTCTTTCTGAAGGAGAAAATCCTTAATTGTTAGATTTTTGCATTTGTAACACCACTTAAATAAAAATAAATTAAAAAAAAAAAGCAAAAAGCCAAGGGGTCATATAAAGTTGCTAATTGTTTTTTCCTAAAAGTATCCTTAAAAACAAACTAAACCTACCACTTACTCTCACCATCATTTCACAGAAAAAAATAACATTTAATACTAAAAACTTAACCAGAACATACAGAATAAAACACAATTCTTTAACATTATAAATTCCATGAAAAAGTCACCACCATGTTATTATTTTCTCTTCTCTTTTTGGACAAGTGAAAACTTTACCACAGTTAGATCTGCAGTGGTCCACAGACCAGAGTTTCGAAACTGCTGGGTTAGGATTTTTTTTTGTATAAAAAACAATCCAAATAACAGTTCTATCCAGCACAGGGTGAACTATTTTATATTATTTAGTGGCATACATGGGCAGAAAATCTAGATAATTTAGAACCAAAAAATCTGAATTATATAGGCTCCCCTCTGTCCCCCATTCTACTTGTCTTCCCAAACCTCAGACATCTACATGCTGGAGTTTCCACCTATTCCCACCCCCACTACAAATACAAAAAATAAAATAACTGTATAACTACTGTCATTAATTTTGGCTTTGGCATATCTTGACTGGCTATCCACATAGTCCTAATTTACTGTACACAAAAGAGGTGATTTATCTGGCCATCTATTCATTGGGTTTCTGTTAACCAGCCAATGTAATGATGAATGTTCTTGATGATGACCCTGAGGCTCTGCAAGTTTCTGAAATGCCTTCTGAACCACCAATGAAAGATACAACCAGAGACCATAAAAATCTTCTCCTTGGTTCCACTGTGGCTTTATTTCTTGGGAGAGTGAGAACGATGAGAATTTTTGATTAAAAGGAGGCATAGTGTATTGGGCACTTTGAAAATTATGGCCCCAGTCTGATACAACCCCCTCACCTCTGCCTACCTCCAATGACTTCAAGGTATGTTATATTGATCCAAAGATAAGTAAAGAGTTGAAACCTAGTTCTGTATATTGTGTATTGATCTTTTAATGTATTTCCAGTTCTTCTGGGAAAGATATCAAAATTCCATCTTGGCTGACACTTTCTGAGAGCAGTACAGATGAGGATGAAGAGGATTTTCTTGACAAGCAACATGTCATCACACTACCATGGTCAAATAATACTTAATCATTTGTTCATTATTTTTTCCATTTGTACCCAGGGTAAAGAAACAACTGAAAAAAAGTAACCAAGTGATTACTTGCCTAGGTGCTGGAGATTTTGATTATTAATGTCTCTTATTTCAAAGCTTGCAGACTAATAAAAGTTAGTGAAATTATAAGTTTATAAGCTTTTTCTTCAAAGGATATATGTCAAACATAAATCTATATTACAGATCATATTAGTAAAATTTGGTGAACTTTAAGAATTAATGGTTATAACTGTGTCTATAGAATGTATCATAGAATGGAACATGATTACATTTTAAGTAATATTTGATGGTTAAGTTATATTTTAAATAATGATGTCACCAACAAGAATGTACATTTGACTGCCAAATCACACTTGACAGTATCACCGTTTGAGCCTGGAATCCAGTTTTACTTTGGTAATTACAGTGAGTTTTTGTTATTGGTGTTAGTTTTTGAAGTTTATAGACATTCTGGTAGCTTGTTATTCTCTGTTCTAGTAAAACATAGAAAAGATCCTCAAGCATCTTATTTTGGGGAGGTCAGTTTGAAGGACTGTTGCGATGCTTAAAGGAAATAACGCCAGTGAAGTATTTTGCTAGTCTTGGGTAGCAGTAGTGGTAGTGTCCTGGTAGTGTGTGTGTGCTGGGGTTAGTGTGTGTGTCAGGTTTCCATGATCTCAGAATTCAAGAGCTTGAGAAAGAGCAGGACAAGACATGGGGGGATAGTTTTATCATTGTCACTTTGTGACATTTTAGGACCCTTTCTCATTTTCGTTGTTCATTGACTTCTCAAAGAGATGTCCCTGCAGATTGGCTCTGCCCTCACCGCTACGTAGCCATGCCTCAGTGTTCAAACTCTTTTGTCTTCTGTTCTCTGTGATCCTGGGTTGTAATTCCTTGCACAAGATTGATGGTTGTTTATTGTAAATTTGTCTTTGAAACTTCTTCCGTGTTATCAATAAAGTATACTGATGTTTACACACATCATCACCTGATAGGCTAGGAAGTGATGATGATGAGACCTATAACATTTCTATGTCTTTTAATATAAAAACAACCTTTATTTAAACTGATTAACACAAGTTAACATTAAGTAATCAGCAAAGCCAATCGTACTTTCAGAATAAAATGTTTCAAAAGAAATAAATATCTTAAAAAAAGTGTGACTCTTCCTAGATTTTTACTGTTCTCTTAGGACTTCCTCTGCAAAAATCCCATAAAGAGACAGTGATGAGCCACCCTTTAATCTTCATCATTTGTGTCAAAAGCCTTCCTGGCCTCTTTTCCTGAGGCTGCTGGCTCTCTGAATTTTAGTATCTACAGTTAAATTGGGGATTGGCTGCGCATCTGTTAAAGTGGGAAAATATGTTATTTTTTCGTTTCAGCACGTCTGATCAGCGTGAAAGGTTCTTGACTCTCTCTGCCCTCATTTGCTCTAAGATGTCTTCCTTTTCTGTTCTGATGAAGAATCTAATGGTTCCTATGAGTGCACTTTATAAAACTCCTGGGTTTTTCTCAGACAAAGTGCAAGGAAGTGTTATTCTATTTCTGTTAGGAAAAGAGTGGACCCCTATTATTCCTACGTTTACTCAGCCATAGCTTCAGTCTTTTATGGACTAGTTCAGAAAAAGAGTTTGTAAGATGTCATTACCCTTTACAATATAAGAATTTTGAAATAAAAATTAATCTGACAATTGTCATCAGTGTATTTTTTGCCAAAATACGCCACTGTGCACCACTGACTTTGTCATTGAATTTCCAATGTGACCTTGAAATTAAACATGAGGGGCAGCAGGCCCCCTTCTGCCTTTATTTGCTTCCCATAACCACACATCCAGAAAAGTTCCTTGATTCCATTGCCATTAGTCTAATGAGGAAATAAAAACTAAAGATTAGAGCCTTTGCCTGAAGCAGCTTCAATGTGTTCTTTCATTTTGAAGCTTAAGTTTAAAATTTCTGTTAAAGGCCTGCAACTAGTTCTAACTGTGAAATTGAGAGAGTTACAGATATTCCAGAGGAATCTCAACCCTGTTACTAATGCTAATGTTACTACAGTGTGCTTCTAGCAACTATTGGATAAATGACCACATGGTTTTACATGCATGTTAGGATTTGGTAATTTTACCCAGACTTGCTAGTGCTGTACTAGCCTTATGAAACTCTATATTATAGCTCTGGATATACACATGATGGAAACAAATTGACATTGCATTGTATTTGATAGTTTTAATATGTTGTTTGATGTTCATTGTGCACTCTGAAGGTATCACACAACGCAGGTCAGTGTTGTCTGCTCCCCTTTGGATCACTTAACACTGTGCCTTATACATAACAGGTACGTGGAAAATATTTCTTAAATGAATATTACAAAATGGCTTTGTCCCTGTAATAGAGCACTCATATATTTTAAATAATGCCTTAATTCAGAAAAACGGTCTACCTTCCCTTATGATTCAGTTGTTGGACACACCTTGAGTAATGTACATCTCATCCTAGTTTTTGCTACAGGCTGTTTCTCATCTGAGGTCTCAAAATGTACCTTTTTAAAGAGTCCTTCTCTAATCTCAACCTAAATTTCCCTTGTCCCTTTTTCTTTATATTTTTTTCTCATGGCATCCTGCTTTATACTTCATAGAACTTATTAATATATTTATGTGTTTTTTGAAGGTGTGTCTTCCCAGCTAGATTATAAATTTCACTAGAACATGAATTATGTCCATTTTTCTCACCATTATACACTCAGTCCTTAGCATATGCCTAGCTCTGACTGGGTAAGGGAATGAATGAATGAATGAATGTACAGCATCCAACTGAAAAACCATCTCAGTCCCCGAACTTTTCCCAGAGGAGACAACATGATATATGCAATGGGAGAAACACTGGTTCTGTCCTCAGGAATCAGGTCACACTGTGTACTAGCTGGAAGATCACATATTTCAGTGTGTTTCTTCATCATAATGTGAAGAAAATTATACCGACTTAGCTCCAAAGAATGTGGTGAGAATCAAATGCAGTAGTGAATATAAAAATACTTAGGGAAGTGGAAAGTGCTCTGTCATGCTTGTTAGCATCACTATTCATGATTTCATGCCAACATCACTGAATATACAGATAGATTTATGGATGGATTAATTAGTGAATTTAGGATTAAATTGAGATAATCCACAAAAATCACTTAATCTCCAAAATAGAGACTGCTTTAGGCAGTTGGAGAATTAGATTGAAGGACATATAAAGCTGGTGCTGTTGCTGAAAGCTAAATGTCTAAATTAATCTTATTAAAAACATTTCTGAAACATTGTTCCCTGTGTTTATAGCCTTCTTTCTATCAAGCATAAATTCAAAGTTTTTAAATATTAAAATTGTACCGGCACTTTATAAAAACCCTGTGCATCATACTTACAGAGAGGAAAAATTAAAAAACATAATATTTATACCTCCCCAAATCTGTTTTTATAAGATATTCAGTTTCATCATAATTTTCATCCCTTGTTATTTATTACTAGCCACATTTGCATAAAAACAATCTTTATTTCCTCAGAGTTCATCTGTGCCTGTAGTTTATCCCCCACCTAAAGTCATAATTCTTTGTTAGTGACACTCTGATTGTTTGCTGGGTAAATGATTATGATGTTGCAAACAGGATTATGACTTTAGCTGGGGAATAACCAGCAGGCATAGATGAACTCTAAGGAAATAAAGATCCTCCTCTTTTGATGCAAATGTCTTCTATAGTTAAGGAAAAGGAGAGAATATTCTTAATACTCTCCATAAGGTGACACTTACGTTTAAAATGAAAAGAATTAATTGATTGATGGGGTTATCTTGAGTTTCTGTTTTCTAATATGTATACTACACAATAACAGATAGAAGCATTGTTCTAAAAGGGCTCTCTATAGGCTTTTACTTCTTCCAGAATGAAGCAATATGTATATTTCTTTCTATACAGAAAAGAAAAATACACATTATTTTAGATACAAATGTTATAAAGCTTTTCAAGGTGTGGGTTGGGTGGGGGTGGGGGTGGTGAGCTTCACCTCTATTTTACAAAGGACTAAACCTTGTATATTTAACATAAGTATGGAATGAATGTTTTAGGGCGATTTTTATATAATTTCACATTTTTCGGGTAATTGTCATTTTTTTAAAATGGAATAACTGTTATCCATTCAAATGATTACAGTGCCCTGTACTTAAAAAATGAGAGGTGCAGATGGGAGGTAGACAGATACACACTTCATTTTTCAAAAGTAGCTTTTATTCATCATATGATGAATGAAGGAAACTCCAGCCTCCTACGCCAGAGCCCTGGAAGAATATCTTGTGGGTTAGGCTATTCCATCAGTTAGGATTTGGTTAAATTTTGTGTAACAGGAAGTCCTAAGTAACAGTGCAATAAAATGTAAGTTTATTTCTCTCGTATATACATTGAGATTGGGAGTAGCAGTCAAGAGCTGGTATGGTGACTGCATCTTTGAATGTTACTTCCATCCTCAAGGTCACCTCATCATCCAAGATGGTTGTAGATATCTTGTTCTTGTTGTGTGCCATTGAGTCGACTCTGACTCATAGAGACCCTATATTACTGAATAGAACTGCCCCATAGAGTTTCTTAGGCTGTAATCTTTTATGAGAAAAGATCACCAATCTTTTCTTCCATGGAGGCGCTGGTGCATTCAAACTACTGACCTTTCAGTTAGCAGCCGAATGCTTAAACATCATGCCACTAAGGCTCCTTTGTAGATATCTTGCCATCACAATTTGAGTTCCAGGCATCAAGATGAGGAAAGTGGGAAAAGTAAAAGGGGCACACCACTACCTGAGCAAGCTCCCTTTAACCCAGCTTTCCTGGAAGTGTCACATAACACTTCTGCTTACATCTTGTTGGCCGGAACTTAACCATGTCTAAATGCAAGGCCATCTGGAAATGTAATCAATTAAGTAGGCACACTGCTGCTCAGGATGAAATTGGGGGTGTGTTACTAAGGAAGACAAG